CACAATGAGTCCTGTCTCCTACAGCCTCACACCATGTCTAAGCAGGTGCTCTGACATTCAACATGGGCCTAGACATCTCCATTTGCACAGAGAGGACCAGAGAGTGAGTGGCAGGTCCAGAGTGGAGTGGCTGGGCCTGCTCCTCAGAGCTTTGTGAGGCAGTGTGACGCTGGGGGGAGGCCATCACAACACTGCCTTAAGCGGATTTAGCAGATCAAAGGCTGGAAGAAGGAAGAGCACTGCCATACACTGGGGTATATCCATAGTAAGTGGACAATAATACCTTTCATGAATACTCTGTAGGTAATGGGGAGATTTAGAGCTGAAATGTGACGGTAACAGGACCTCTCCATGAGGTACATCATGCCAAAGATGGGACAAATAGTCCTTAAGGGTGTTCTTTGTTCTCTGCTTGTGTGAGCAGCTAACGCTGGCCAAGAGGGAGACACAGGTGAGGCAGAGCAGAAACACTCACTAGACACGCACCACACACTGCCGCAAGGAACACAAAAGTCTGAGTGAACACCATCTGCAAACAACCACACACAAAGGGCATCACAGACACTCACAAATGGCTGGAGGGGAGGCACAGGTGACGCTGGATGATCAGCGTAAGTACACAACTTTAGAACAGAAACATTACACACACACATGCTTGTGCACACACAGACACATATAACCCAGTAGGGAGGCCAAGTGTGAAGATGAGTGAGTAAGTTCAGCATGCCTAATCATCAACGTGATTTCCATCCAAGGTTGGTTACCTAGCCAAATACACACCATCTCACACCCTCTCCCTCTCTGCCTTGGAACTGTTCAACTGGATGAACTAAATGCTAAATGTTACAATGCCAATCACTTTTTTTCACCTTGAAGCGGAGGTTCAGAGAACCTAGCCGTGTTGTTCCTGGCACACCTTAAACACAGCACTGTGAAAACACCCACAGGTGACAATTACCCAGTCACTTCCTGCTGTCTCACACAGCTTAGGAGCACAGCCTCGTCTCATAGGGGCCATAATTCACCACCATCTAGGAAATACAGAGTTCAGAACTAAATGGATGTGAACTCGTGAAAAACATTAGCTGAGCAGGAGTCAGTGTAATAAGGATGTTATTTGGCTGTTGGTATTTGGGCACTGCCTACAGGTGATGTGAGGCGGGGGGGGGAACGGGACGGGACGGGACTCAATAATAAAACGATTCTGTCAAAGTAAGCAGTTCTTTATATGCCTGTGAAAGAGTGGAGCTATTTATTTTAGCATGGACATAAGGCGCCAGAGGACATAATTTGAACACCATTGAACAGCCTTGTACTGCATGTCCAATGAAATGAATAGGCTTTGCCCACATACATACACACACACCACTCACTGAAGTTATTGCCTTTTGCTTCATTTTTCTTTCGATTTTCTCCATCCTTCTCTTTCTCCAACCTCTTCACTCTTTTATCCTGCACATTCCTTTTCACACTATATGCCCCTTTTCCTCTTTCTCTTTTCCTCTTTCTAATTGACCTAATCAATGCTGTACTCCAACTACAGAAAGGAGGGGAAAAAACACAATGAAACAAGGAGGTGGTTTAATTATATCCAATCCCAGAACCTGTCTGTTCTAGCTGAAGCTGTACACTCCAGCTGCATCTTACAGTTGGAATAGAATGAGCTGAAGAGACCAAAGCAGAAAGAGAGAGCAGAGATGGAGAAAGAGAGCTATGGACGGACACACTATCCAGTGTTTACCATCTCCCAGATAATAGAACGGGCCAGGTTATGCTTTATTTTACCACTTGCTATTTACCTGGTATTTATTTATAAATTAGCCTACATGGTAATGGTGTTTAAATATGGCCTTTTTAGTAGTCATTGAAACAAGTGCCACAATGTACAAATTGATATCAGATATACCAGGACTCTCCAACCCTGTTCCTGGAGAGCTACTCTTGTAGGTTTTCACTCCAACCCCAGTTGTAACTAACCTGATTCAGCTTTTCAACCAGCTAATTATAATAATTATTATTATTATTTGGTGGGTGCTTATATTTGTCCTATTTCACAAATGTACCAGTGTGTATGCAACGCCAGGGTTGTGGGTTCAATAAAATAATGTATGCGCTAACTGTAAGTCGCTCTGGATAAGAGCGTCTGCTAAATGACTAAAATTTAAAAAATATACGCATGTATGAATTGGAAATGTGTTTTTTGCATATCACTCTCCCTGAGACACCCTCGAAGAGTGTGGTCATGGCCAGGGTATGCCATTATCAACGGCAACCCTGGAGCAATTAGGGTTAAGTGCCTTGCTCAAGGGCACATCGGCAGATTTTTCACCTTGTCAGTTCGGGGATTAGAACTAGCAACCTTTCTTTATTGGCGCAACACTAACAGCTAGGCTAGGTTACCTGCCACCCTGTAACTATTAGAATCGGGTGCGCTGGATCAGGGTTGGAGCAAAAACCTACAGGATGGCAGCTCTCCAGGAACAGGGTTGGAGAGCGCTGAGATATACTATGCGTAACCATATGAATTGTTAGCGGCTATGAGGAACCTAGCAGCTGAAATAAGGCTGTAAAAATGATGCGCTAATGAGGGTCAGAGAGCACAAGAATATATTCACTTATGCAGAAATCCATCAGCTTCCCTAGAGACATACTGAAGTAGGCTGTAGTAAATGTATAATACTGGGCAATTCCATGGTAACAGAATGATGCTGAGACTCAGATTTTTCACTTTAAAATGTCAAAATGCATGGCGGCACCAACAGCACAAACCGTCATTCTGTTACCAAACTTTGCATCTGCATTGTTCTTTAATTAAATATGTTTTAGTAAAATGTTCAAGTAGTCCTTCTATAGTTTGTTCAACTTTGCAATCATTGGTATGTTTGGCATACATTTTAAAGTGAAAAATCTGAGTCTCATTATCACTCTGTTACCGTGGAATTGCCCTACTGCTGAATTAGTGAAAATTTGTATACAGCTAGTTCTGTCACTGTTAGGCATCTCACACTACACCAAACCTCAAGGAGGAAACTGTTGGGTGTCAAGTACGAGGCATTTGAGTTGAGCTGATGTATTCAATATGGCAAAATAAACACTCCACTCCTGATTAACATTTTACGGAAAGGTTGGAATGAGTCAACATCTTCAATCCCAAAGCAAATAAAACATGAACAAGTCAATTGTCAGCATGAATATTGAGTCTGTCATGACAAGTATGCTTTCAAGTACCTAATTCAGTATAATGGCCACATTTCAACATTTAACAAAAGTGTGCATCCTTAGCATTGCAAGCTATTGATTCTCATTCAATAGCCTCTCTCTCTCTGTCTCAAGTTGTTTACAGCCTAGGCCAAAATGGAACCGAGATGCAGGAAATCTTAGCTCTTAAAAGTTTGGAATTTATGAAAAGAAAAATGCAAAATAGGATTTTCATCATGCAGGAATCTAATAATTAACATTCTCTCCACAGATCTGACGAGTCTCCAAATCCCTCTATGAAATGCAAATGTCGGTACACAGAGTGTAATGTCAATCCTCTCTCTCTTCTCCCCCAAAAGGGAGGACCTGTGTCTCTGTCTCATCTCCATACTGCTGGAGGAGGGACAGGAAGCTAATGCCTTAACTCTGGGGTTTGGGATTTGAATTGAAGTCAGAATAAAGAGAAAACTATTCCTATGCACGAATAATTGGGAAGTGTAATGCAGTCTTTAAAAGCTGGCTCGGTTTCCCCCGTAAATTCATCTCTATTATGACATGGTTTGACATCATAATGGATGAATTTGATCACACCGTCTCAGAGGAGAGAAACACTTCCACCGCTGTTTTCTCTCCTGTTCTTTTATTCTATTTCTATGACACCTTGATAAATTCATGCAGGGTCCAAAATTATAAATACACTGTGGATATCTGAATGGGACAATACATCATCAGCTGGACTGTTTCACATTCATCTCTGGTATGTGTGCGTGACTGGAGCCTTCAAAACCAAGAGGCAGATATAGGCTAGTGTCTGATATAGCCTATAGCTACAAAGTAAATAGTCAACTATTGAAGCTACTACATGAAACTGAAGTGAAGCAAAGTAATGCCATTCAAGTGACTTGTGTATTGCAATGAGTATCATGCCAGATTTATGCATATTTATGTAGAAATGCCACATCATGTCTATATGTCCTTTGTTCTCAATATCCTTCATCTTTGATGTATTAAAAACGTGTGGTAAACTGGCCTGTTCCAACAGTGGGATAGAAGGAACCAGTATATAACGCTGTTCTATGACACATATGAAGACACAACTAGACTGTCAAATAGACTGGGAGAAAAACATCAAAGTGAAGTGATGGCAAACAGGGAATTAGTGCTGTGATGAGTGTCAACACACAACCAGTACTGCAGCATCGTTACAAGCCTCCGACTGGTTGCTGCAGAGTTATTGGTAAAATGATCATTTAGAATTCCACAGTCGTAAAGCGAGCAAAGGTGCCAGATCTTTTCCTCTGAGGTTCCGGCCATTAATTCCACCAGGGATGTACAGTAACGGGTTTGCATTCTGCATTGGGAGAAGACTGTGACAGCAGGGACAAGTCATTAAAAGGCTAGTTTCATTGTGGCTGCGGAGCTGCAATTTATCACAACACTGTCAATAAAACTATGGCATTACATTTGGGAGATGGTCTCTAATACCACATCTCTGAGAGAAACATGCCCGTTGGTGCCAAACCCGCTAATTAATGTTGTGTCTTTGTTACAAAGGTGGACTTGTATCTAACCAACTAGACAAGGGCTTAAGGAGAAGCTTTGACAGGACTCATGGTTAAACAATCACACACACAAAGGAAGTAGCAACAGAGATTTACAGAATCGCTAGGGTAAAGTGTTGAGCAGCTGACATAAACTGGGAAATCAACAGGTTCTTGGAACAGTGTGTTGGCTCTCTGAGATTTGTTCTCAGTCTTTAGGTGGTACAACTCCTCTCCCCAGCACTCACACACTCTGTGGTGTTATATAACATGTGCTCCTACCTTGGGGTCAGCAGTGAGCAGTTTGAAAGCCTCGTAAACCTGTTTCTCCTTCACCCCTCCTCCCAGATCTAGGAAGTTGGCCGGTTTCCCTCCATGGAGGTCGATGATGTCACACGTGGCCATAGCCAGACCAGCCCCATTCACTGTAATGGCAGGTCAAAGGTGAAATTAAACCACAAAGAAAGTTGAGATAACTCTGTTGTTACTGGTCTCAGAAAACAGAGAAGGGCCTCTAAAGTCCAGAGCATCCCTTCAAAATAGTTGCTGTGCTCATCGCAAAGTCAGATGACAATTGATGATACATATTCCAATGAAGTTACATTTTCCACAATAGAGTCTAAATGAAGTTGAAAATTTAAACAAAAACCTTGAGAGAAAACTGACAGTGAAAAGTAGTTGGGATTTAATTACAATAAACATTACCTAATAAAATTATTAAAACAAAAACAGAGCGCACAGCGAAATCAATGAGTAAATTATCTAATGAAGAGGGAATAACAATCTTTAGAGAATTTAAAGTAAAACTAACTAACTGTAAAAACTCTTCTAATGAGGATATTTAACATTTGAAGAAGTTGAGAAGCGGAGAGAAATGTGATTACGGCAACACTCTTGACTTCAGAAAGTGAGTGTCGATTAAAAGAGGTTCTGTCGTATTATCAGGCAGCCTAATGAGAGTATCCCTAACCCGCTGGGCTGCTTGGTATTATGCTGCCAGGGAGCCAAGTGATTCAGCCGCCCTGCTAAAGCCAACACACCTCTCTACAAATGTCTTCCCTAATTTGGGTTATCAGCGCTAAGCCTGCATCCTGGCAAGCACCCCTACAGAAGTCTCAATAAAAGGAAACTGGCTTTAACAGCTGTCACTTTGGTGGGTTACAGAGCTTATAAGGAGCCCATCAGCTCGGAGCTGTTGTCCTGTAGGAGAGGCTGGGCACGGGAAAGAGGCACTAACGTGCTCTTACTGCCACAGCGTTTATGAAGCTGCAGGGCAACCAGGAGATACTCCCTAGCAGCCCAGAACTACACTATAAAGCTTTGATTTATGACAGGGGAGGCCTATAATGAGAATGCTAACAACAATCCAGCCCACTGGAGACTTTTTATTATTATGACTAATTAGAAAGCATTGGTTACAGCGGCCTCCTTCTGGAGTCATTAGAAAGCTGGTTGTTAATTTGGACTGCAGAGGATCCCAGTCAGCCCAGTCAAAAAAACTCAATTCCAGTTGGTGTGGGTTAGCCATGGCTGAATGCATAGAACATGCATGTTGTGGACAGTCTTAATCAGAGCTCACCAAAGCAGGCAATGTTTCCATCCAAGCCAATGTACTTGAGGTCCCATTTGGCTGCCTCTGTCTCTGTGGGATCGCTCTCTGACATGTCGTCCATGGCAAAGACGGCTTTCTGACGGAACTCTGCGTTATCGTCAAAGTTGATCTTGGCATCAAAGCACACCACTGAAAGAAGCAAGAGAGAGAGGAAGACAAATAGACAAAGAAACTTTAGCAAGGAGGATTTGAAATGGAAATGTAATGAACATCTAACAAACTCAATGAAAAATGTTGAATAAAATGTGGCAAGTGACCTCGTCCTATTAGACTTAATTACTTCAGTATTTGTGATGGTGCAGCACGTTTTATATACACTGCTCAAAAAAATAAAGGGAACACTTAAACAACACAATGTAACTCCAAGTCAATCACACTTCTGTGAAATCAAACTGTCCACTTAGGAAGCAACACTGATTGACAATAAATTTCACATGCTGTTGTGCAAATGGAATAGACAACAGGTGGAAATTTTAGGCAATTAGCAAGACACCCCCAATAAAGAAGTGGTTCTGCAGGTGGTGACCACAGACCACTTCTCAGTTCCTATGCTTCCTGGCTGATGTTTTGGTCACTTTTGAATGGTAGCGGTGCTTTCATCTAGTGGTAGCATGAGACAGAGTCTACAACCCACACAAGTGGCTCAGGTAGTGCAGCTCATCCAGGATGGCACATCAATGCGAGCTGTGGCAAGAAGGTTTGCTGTGTCTGTCAGCGTAGTGTCCAGAGCATGGAGGCGCTACCAGGAGACAGGCCAGTACATCAGGAGACGTGGAGGAGGACGTAGGAGGGCAACAACCCAGCAGCAGGACCGCTACCTCCACCTTTGTGCAAGGAGGAGCAGGGGGAGCACTGCCAGAGCCCTGCAAAATGACCTCCAGCAGGCCACAAATGTGCATGTGTCTGCTCAAACGGTCAGAAACAGACTCCATGAGGGTGGTATGAGGGCCCCGACGTCCACAGGTGGGGGTTGTGCTTACAGCCCAACACCGTGCAGGACATTTGGCATTTACCTGAGAACACCAAGATTGGCAAATTCGCCACTGGCGTCCTGCGCTCTTCACAGATGAAAGCAGGTTCACACTGAGCACATGTGACAGACGTGACAGTGTGGAGACGCCGTGGAGAACGTTCTGCTGCCTGCAACATCCTCCAGCATGACCGGTTTGGCGGTGGGTCAGTCATGGTGTGGGGTGGCATTTCTTTGGGGGGCCGCACTGCCCTCCATGTGCTCGCCAGAGGTAGCCTGACTGCCGTTAGGTACCGAGATGAGATCCTCAGACCCCTTGTGAGACCATATGCTGGTGCGGTCTGGGTTCCTCCTAATGCAAGACAATGCTAGACCTCATGTGGCTGGAGTGTGTCAGCAGTTCCTGCAAGAGGAAGGCATTGATGCTATGGACTGGCCCGCCCGTTCCCCAGACCTGAATCCAATTGAGCACATCTGGGACATCATGTCTCGCTCCATCCACCAACGCCACGTTGCACCACAGACTGTCCAGGAGTTGGCGGATGCTTTAGTCCAGGTCTGGGAGGAGATCCCTCAGGAGACCATCCGCCACCTCATCAGGAGCATGCCCAGGCGTTGTAGGGAGGTCATACAGGCACGTGGATGCCACACACACTACTGAGCCTCATTTTGACTTGTTTTAAGGACATTACATCAAAGTTGGATCAGCCTGTAGTATGGTTTTCCACTTTAATTTTGAGGGTGACTCCAAATCCAGACCTCCATGGGTTGATACATTTGATTCCCATTGATCATTTTTGTGTGATTTTGTTGTCAGCACATTCAACTATGTAAAGAAAAAAGTATTTAATAAGATTATTTCATTCATTCAGATCTAGGATGTATTGTTTAAGTGTTCCCTTTATTTTTTTGAGCAGTGTATTTGACAGTGCCTCTAAGGGACAATATATTATGCATAATGGACATTACTTTTACACTTCACAAGGTGCAGTTCAAAATAAACTGTAAGCTAAATGTTAACTGCAAGCAAAGTATTTACTTCAGCTTTTCATTAAGGCTTGATAATCAGTGGAACTACTTCAGGTTTCATAGCATTGCAGGGCTGAAATCCTGAGGTATGCTCCTTGTGGATTTGTACTTTGTAAGGCCCACTATATACCATAAGCATTTCCACAGGGGTGATTGGAGCCTTCATCTATCAATACTCTATAACAGCCTGGAGGACAAATGACAGTAGTGGTACACGGGATCCCCATGGAACCAATGGTAAATTCACTATGTAATGGCTCATCTCTGTGAAATACTACCTGGGTTGAAGCTCCCAAGTGTAATAAAGGCAACACGACACACACACACAGCCCACACACACATACAGCCACACACACACACACACACACACACACACACTAGGGGGAACCAAAATAAATGGGATCATTTTGGCCCTCTTTTTTTGTGTTTTTTTGTCTAGTTTTAGTCATTGTAGTCATTTGAATAATGATTTAGTCTAGTTGTCAAAATGGCAAACAGGGGGCCATTTTAGTCACATCACATTTGTATTGCCTCATTAATCTATAGTAAACATTAATCACTGACTTCCATGTGCACAAACATACATAGCCTACCAACATATTTTTCTGCATAACATCCTATTATGTTCCCAACAGCAGAATTATATATATATTTTTTTTTGTCATTTAGCAGACGCTCTTATCCAGAGCGACTTACAGTTAGTGAGCGCATACATTATTATTATTTTTATTATTTTTTATACTAGCCCCCCGTGGGAATCGAACCCACAACCCTGGCGTTGCAAACGCCATGCTCTACTGAGCTACATCCCTGCCGGCCATTCCCTCCCCTACCTTGGACGACGCTGGGCCAATTGTGCGCCGCCCCCTGGGTGACATACATGTATAAGAATAATATTATATAATAATTATCTGGCCATGTAAATTCAGCCTACATAGAAGATGCATATTACATACAAAACAAACAGAGACCCACAAGTGCAGAGAGAGCGAGAGAGGCATGTTTGTTCTTCATAGCATATTTCTATCTGAATGTTCCAAAATGGTGTGTCCTTCTGAAACATCTGGCTCATTGTTCTGTGGCTACACCTTGTTCTATCTGTGGCTACACCACTAAATAAAAATATAAATGCAACATGTAAAGTGTTGGTCCCATGTTTCATGAGCTGAAATAAAAGATCGCAGAAATGTTCCATAAGCACAAAAAGTTTATTTCTCTCAAATTCTGTGCACAAATTTGTTTACATCCCTGCCTGTTAGTGAGTATTTCTCCTTTGCCAAGATAATCCATCTACCTGACAGGTGTGGAATATTAAGAAGCTGATTAAATAGCATGATCACTACACAGGTGCACCTTGTGCTGGGGACAGTTTTGTCACACAACACAATGCCATAGATGGTTCACGTTTTGAGGGAGCATGCAATCGGCATGCTGACTGCAGGAATGTCCACCAGAGCTGTTGCCACATAATTTAATGTTCATTTCTCAACCAAAAGCCACCTCCAACGTCGTTTTAGAGAATTTGGCAGTACGTCCAACCGGCCTCACAACCGCAGACCACATGTAACCACACCAGCCCAGGACCTCCACATCAGGCTTCTTCACCTGCAGGATTGTCTGAGACCAGCCACCTGTACAGCTGATGAAACTGTGGGTTTGCACAACCGAAGAATTTCTGCACAACCTGCTCGTCGTCCTCACCAGGGTCTTGACCTGACTGCAGTTCGGCATCGTAACAGACTTCAGTGGGCAAATGCTTACCTTCGATGGCCACTGGCATGCTGGAGAAGTGTGCTCAGATAGCGTGTATTGCGTTGGGTGGGCGAGCGAGCGGTTTGCTGATGTCAATTGTGAACAGAGTACCCCATGGTGGCGGTGGAGTTATGATATAGGCAGGCATAAACTACAGACAACGAACACAATTGTATTTTATAGATGGGAATTTGAATGCACAGATACCGTGACGAGATCCTGAGGCCCATTGTCGTGCCATTCATCCGCCACCATCACCTCATGTTTCAGTAGGATAATGCACGGCTCCATGTCGCAAGCAGTGGCGGCTCCTGAAAAAATTCTCAGGAGGGGCAATTTTTCTGATGATTTAGGTGACCTACACACATTTAAAAAAATATATGTCCAGCAACAACATGAAGACAGGGGCAGCATACAAGTCAATACCAGAAGCATTTATTGACTGATCTCAAAAGTGTTGGCTTACCAGGGTTGGTGGAGCCCTCAGTTTCATCTTTGCCTCGCAAAGCTAACTCAAACACTCCGCAAAACTTCACACACTGGATTAGCCGGCTGAGGATGTGGCGGTTCTTGCTAATGTCGTAGTAAATATATTTGTTATAGTGAATATGGAATATGATATGTTGAGTAAAATGTTGTGCTAAGATCTATTTAGGTCAGGAGCTGGTTATAAGTTATGTTCCTATCCAATAACAATGGACAAAAGGGTCCTATCTTGTCAGCCTTGTCAGCAGGTGGCCAAGGACAACACCCACGCATAGGCCTCTCAGTTCTTCCAACTCACGAGTTCTTGCTCTGAGGACACACACACACACAAACACACACACACACACACACACACATCATCACTGTTAAACACACACACACACACATCATCACTGTTAAACACACACACACACACACACAAAAATCCCCTCTCTTAGGCTGAACATTTGAAGACAGAGAACCCGACTCAGAGCCAATGCAACAGTGACAGTAGCCTGGAGGGGACCTCGCCCAACTCATCAGGACCAATCAGAAGATCAGAACTACTAGATTGAACCTACTTCATTTATTGCATAAAATGTCTGCACACAATGTTTTCGGGGCTCTCTTCAGATAATAATAATAATAATAATAATAATAATAATAATAATAATAATATGCCATTTAGCAGACGCTTTTATCCAAAGCGACTTACAGTCATGCGTGCATACATTTTTGTGTATGGGTGGTCCCGGGGATCGAACCCACTACCTTGGCGTTACAAGCACCATGCTCTACCAGCTGAGCTACAGAAAGTGGATACTCATGGATGCGCATTGCAATTGTAAAATGTCAACACAATTGGAGACACCACGTCATTTTTGGAGACATGTTATTGACAGTAAACTATTGTAGATGCGACTGCTAACTAAATAAAACATTTTAGCTGGCTAGCTAATCATCTTAGCTAAATGTGGGGCAAACAATTCAGTTATTTACCGTTAATTTGAGGGATTGGGGTGAAAGAAATCGAGTTACATAGTGATACTTTACGATATACTGTATTGACAATATCGCAATATTTTAGCGCTAGTTGGCTGTACCTGCACCAAAACACCATTATTGTTCCTTCATAGCTTGTTCTCAATCTTTTCACATTGGGAGCCAATTTGTTTTCAGCACTTTTATTTCCATGACTGATCAAAACTCGTTCTCATGGCTTTCTGATCCCTCTGCAACAGACATATGGTGCGCAATAAAATCACAGTATCGAATCGCAATACGTATAGAATCATGAGACTCGCAATGCTGATGCATATATCTTATCGTGAGGTTCCTGGCAATTCCCAGCCCAAGTTCATTTGCCACAACAAATCTCTTCGCTAGCAAACGCAATGTGTCTCCAGCAATGTTTACTTTTTTGACGTTCTATGGCATCTCCACTTTCCAAGCATATATGACCACATGTAATATTTTGGTAAGTGATGCAAATAGTGAACTATGTAGGGCCAGGATGTAAAATATATGTAGCTGCAGCAATTTCTCTTATCTGATATGGTAAGTAATGGGGCTTGATTTATAGCTCCCTAAGAGTTTGACGAACGGGTCCGTGAACGCGATTGCAGATATCTTTACCTCTGAATAAACTGCCTTATATTATACAATTATCCACCTTGTCCAAAAGTCTCTACTTTTTCTCCGTTCTCCAGTAAACTTGTTTTATCAACAATAGTAAGGTTCAATGACACAGAAAGCAGTTCAATGTCGGGTTACAGAGTCGCTCTCTTACCAGGATCGCGGTCCGCTCTGACCAGGGTGAAGGTGGCCGGCTCCAACTCTCTGCCAGCAGCGTTTTCATTATTTAGTCCGTTCGTAGCGGGTATGTACACGATCAACAAGATCAGTCCAAAACCGAAGATCAGTCCAAAGCAGAATGTTTGCAGAATGTTTGTAAACTAAGTCTACAAATTAAAAACATAAAATAACGCCACACTGCAGGTCGCAACATAGACGCTGATAGCCGCCATTGTCTTAGTTACGTTCAACGTTACGTCACGTATGACGAAAGCGCGTAAGTGCAAGCCCACAGACACCCATAGAGAATGTATTGAAAGCTTTGAAATGTGAAAAAAATAGATTTTACATGACAGGCTATGAGAGACTTCTGGGCGATTTTCAACCTGACTGAAATCGCCCAAAAAACGGGCGGGGCCATTTGAAGCACGACTTTAGCCTGATTTGACATTTAGTGGCTGGCAGATCAGACGTGAACACTGATAACTGCTGTTGCCGTGATATAATTTTTTATAAATTTATTTTAAAAAATTATAATTTTTTTTATTTTATTTTTTTATAATTGATTAGAAAAAAAATCCCTTCCTTTTCCCGTTTGGCAGTGCGTCGCCCATATCGCCCTATTGAACAAGCCGTCCCTGGTCGCAAGGATCTGTACACAATTCCTGGAAGCTGAAAATGTCCCAGTTCTTCCATGGCCTGCATACTCACCAGACATGTCACCCATTGAGTATGTTTGGGATGCTCTGGATTGACATGTATGACAGCGTGTTCCAATTCCCGCCAATATCCAGAAACTTCGCACAGCCATTGAAGAGGAGTGGGACAACATTCCACAGGCCACAATCAACAGCCTGATCAACTCTATGTGAAGAAGATGTGTCGCGCTATGAGGCAAATGGTGGTCACACCAGATACTGACTGTTTTTCTGATCCATGCCCCTACCTTTTATTTTAAGGTATCTTTGACCAACAGATGCATATCTGTATTCCCAGTCATGTGAAATCCATAGATTATGGCCTAATGAATTTATTTCAATTGACTGATTTCCTTATATGAACTGTAACTCAGTAAAATCTTTGAAAATGTTGCATGTTGCATATACATTTCTGTTCAGTGTAGAATCTGTTAAGAACAGAGTGGACAACGTTTTGTTGATTTTACCCTTTGCCAAAGTTTTAAAAAATTGCGCTATTGCACACGCGCACTTCACAGAATAGTTCCATAATCTCTCTTGCACAGATTCTCGTGGACAGATGAAACGGCGAGAATCTGTCCAGGCTCATGTAGAATTATGTGATTACCAGCAGCAGTAGTTCCTGGTTTTGGGTTTTCGTCTTTGATTATTTGGTTGAATCAGTGAGGTGATTTTCAAGCCGCGTGCGGATGATAAACGGTTTCCACTAGATTCCACAGCCACAAAGACAAAATGGTCTGTTTCATAAAAACAAAAATGTGCTTTTTGGCGATGACAAACACGGGTGAAATTAGCAGAAGGGAGGGGTTTGGCCAAGAGTTCCCATTTGCCAGGAAGGTGATTTCTCTTCCTTCCTTTGCACAAAGGTAATCACAATTGTTAATGTAATTCCCCCCAGAAGTAAAACAGGAAATGACACATTTTCACAAGATAATATTACTTCTGGGTAGCCGAGATTAGGCGTTCCCTAACGGAAATATGAAAATACATGCTAGAACGCGCCAACAGTCTCTCGCTAGCTCGTGCTTGGTTTTGCCCACTATGATTAATTTGCTCCCATTGGAAATGACAGGCTGTGGTCTATCTTGGGTTAGTTATAAAAATATTTGGTGTAGCCTTAACAAATGGTTAACGAGCCGGTCCACAAGTAACCTAGTTTTAGAATGGCCCACGATATGATTTCTGAATGTAAAATGTGGCCCGCCAATGCACGATAGAAATAAAAAAATTTAGTGGCGGTATTATGAGTCATGTCTTTTGAACGGTAGTCTAAGGGCTAGAATCAAATCGTTTTCTCTGAGGAAAAGAGGAAGTCTTGAATATAGAACCTGTATATGAAATGCAGTGGGAAAGGTGGGAGGGTTGAGCGAGACTACAAATTCAAAGACAGCCTACTTAATGCTGCTATAGTTTTTAAACTCAATTCTGCTATAGTTTTTAATTTCGTAAAGTAGCTTGTGTTTCTTAACCAGACAAAGGGTAGCTAACTAGATGGCTGGTGGTGACTGGTTAGCTAAGGTGAAGCAAGAGAGTCACTGCGCGATGTGTATAATCAGAGGCGGAGCCGGGGCGGAACCTGTCTGCCCACACTCATCGCTTGCTCCCTCACAGCTCACCACCTGATGTAGGCTGTGTTTGCCGGGTGTGACTCGTCCTTCCCACTGAACAAAACAGCGCTGCGCATCTGTGCTGCTAATATTAATTGTGCCTATCACTGAAAAGCTCTCAATCTCTCCACAAACTCTTGTTCAGTCCACTTAGTAGTCAAATGTTTGTCACAGAGATAATTTTGTCTAGTTTTAGTCAACTGAAATGAAAAATAATTGTAGTTTAGTTTGTTTTTTCAGTGTCTATTTAGTAAGTTATAGCCTCATCAACTGCCCCTGAAAAATAGGTTTTTGCCGAATATTTTAGTCACTATTGTTGTTCACGAAATTTAAAAGAATTCAGAGATAAACAGTAATTTGGTCTTATCGTCCCTCTGGTGATGAGGGTTCAGTTACACCGAAAATAAATGCAGTAACTTTTCTGCCTACAGTGATGTTCTTCGGTACTGTGGTGTGCTGTTTAAACTCGACTGAATAACAGACATCCATGGTACTTGATTCCATTCCCTCGTTGAATATGTACAAAATGAAGAACAAGTTTAGCTACTTTCAATGTAAGTCTACAGAAACACTGCTTCTGCCTTGCTAGTACAACAAAATAGACCTCTCATCAATATTCATAAGCAATTATTATACTAGGCTACAATATGTTATTTTCTTGTCACTCTGATGAACCAGACCTACAACGAGAACTTGTTTCATAACAATGCATCAAAAGCTGTGGAGAAGCAGAGTTGTGTCATCTATCAGTTTATCTGACTGAGTGTTACTCAAGAGGCAATTAGTTTGAGATTTAATTCAGGATAGTGATATGCTACAATATACAGTATACCTAAAATCTCATAATACACTCCCATGGTGAGAGAGCAAATGAGAGAGAAAAAGAGAGAGCTAGAACAAACAAAGACAGATCCAGATAAACAGAACTTCTGATATGTAGACACCAAAAAGAGAAAGAAAAAAGAGAGTCGTACCTTGTCCTTCGGGAGTCTCTCCGAGAGGATTGACTTCAACTTGAGTGGCGTCGACTTTCAGGAACAGATCATAGAGCCTCTTAATCTGATCTGCAGCCTGTGAGTTCCACAAAGGACAGTAATTACCCAACAATACGCCTCTGAGCAGCAGGCCCGCCAAGGCCACTCAGCACATGTAAAAGGTGATTTTGTCATGTTTTATTTAGTGTGTGCGTGCTGCTGAATGGCCTTGGCGGGCCTGCTTCTCAGCCGAGTGTGTTCGCTCATGTGCGTGCAGGTGTTGAATTCTTTATATAACACAACTCAATACGCCTTTCTCACATACTGTACAAAATATAGGCTATATAGATATATATATATATAAATAATAGTACTTATAAATGCTATATAATTGAATGCATTGCATGCATGACTAAGCCTACATAGCCTAATGAAAACAGTAATTAAACTACTATAATACAGCCTTTGTGTGGTATATTAATGCATTAGCACTGAGTAAGAGTTATAATGTGTCAATTGTGCCACATTATCCTAACAGGCGCAGTATTACTATTGAAGTGGCTGTCATTGGAATGAATCCTCTTTTCAAAGAATCAGGGGTTGAACTGATGTCTCTGTCTGTCCCTGCAACCGAGCTGCTCTTTTGATTATGAAAACAGCCTGACAGAAAACATTGTTAGCACTGCTCTCTGCCACACACTCACAGACAGACACACACAATCACACACTTTGTCACCAAGACTCTTCAAAGCAGCCAATATATTTACCCTAACATTCAATTCCACACCCACAACCGCTGTAATTAGCAGTGAATCGAACAGACTGTGGCAACTGATGTGCTTTAAAAGAAAGAGTTGGAAGAACTTAGTGAATTGTTTTAATTTCCTCAAGGCTGTTAAAATCAATGTCCATTCAATATCAAGACAGGCTCGTAATACACAGGGTGTACCTCTCAGACAATTGTGTATGTTCATTTCATTTTTCAAAAGACAATTCATTAAGTTGAGTTATACTTTTTCTGCATTTTAACATTCTGAACGAATCCGATTCTTTAAGCTGCTGTGCTCATGGATAGGAATACAAATTAGCATTATGATGCTACAAGAAAAATGGCTCTAAAAGGAACTGGAGAACAACTTAATATCAAATTTGAATTTTGGGGTTTGTCTTTTTGTGTGCGTCTCTGACCCAGTTTACACTGGCCAGAATTGGCTTCATCAGCAATGATTTTGAGAGGACTCCCCCCCCCCTCAAAAAAAAAAAAAAAAATTATGTACTATAACGGTAAACAAGCAAGCATTTCGCTGCACCTTTTATACCTGCTGTTAACTGTGTACGTAACGAATACAATTTGATTAGATTCAAACGTATAAAGCTTTGTCTGTTGTACAAGGACATTATGGAGTTCTATAAACCTTGTAATTCAGCATAAAGAGCCCAGTAGACAGGCAGTATCCTATCTGGTTTCATCAGCTCTGAGTTCAGTACTGTGGGTCTTTGGTGTGTGTACGCGACTCTGCTTCTCTGCACTGCGGCTCAGAGAGCTTTGTCGGGCCTATTACCTGTCTTTCCAGAGGTCCTTTGAAACCCAAATTAGCTGCCATGCGGAGCGCCTGGTCATCTCGCACACCCTCGAAAATATCTATAACTTCCTGTGGTACGAGAGAGCAGAGAGAGAGAGAGAAAGCGGAGAGAATGGTGACTCAAACACTGGATGGTAATTTGACACACAGTGGATGTTCATATTAAATCACGATATGCAATTAAGTGGTGGCAACCTGCCAGTCGTGAGGAAAGGAGAACCGGGCCTGAAATTATGGCTTTATAATTATCAGGCACTTGTAGAGATAAGATTCTAACATGGAGAAGGGATCTCTCCATCAAGGGATGCATTGTGCCAATCAGAGAGCGAAAGCCAGAGAGAGAGAGAGAGAGAGAGAGAGAGAGAGAGAGAGCCAGAGCGCGCCTGCGCACACGGTCAGACGGAAGTACAGGGATACCAGGGATGTCTGTACTGTAGTTAATGGTAAGAGATATTAAGCTATTGGATCACAAGTACAGTGAATGGTGAGAGGTTCCATGTTAACATCTATAGTCATTTGTAACATATGCTGTTGCAGAGCTCACAGTACTGTACCTTAAAGATGAGTTCTGGGGTTTTGTCGGCCACCTCCTCTATGTCCATCCCACCCTGAGGACTGCCCACCATGACGGGGCCGTTGCAGGCCCGGTCCATCAGGATGGCAAAGTAGGTCTCTCTGGTGATGTCCAGGGCTTCAGCCACCATCACCTGGTCAGTAGGGAGAGAGTCAGCCTACTGCCTTCACATCACAGACTGGCCTCAGATACAGACACAGGAGATAGTATTATTACAACCCAGAGAACCTATGGGTTCTAAATCTAGGCTATACTGGGAATGAAGCAACCTGCTGGGAGATGGCAAGGGAGAGAGAGACAGAGAGAGATTGATGGAAAGACAGAGGGATAGAGATGAGTTGGTTGTTTGTTATCAGTTCCCTGGGCCTAACTGGACAGAGTTAATTTGGACTCCATGTCCCATGCAAACAGGCAAACAGTGCAGCCTTCTTTCTCTCTCTGCTTAAAGTCTTGATCTATTTTCCACACTACTACCACCCTCTCCTGGTCTTTCTCTCAATCTAACTGGCTCTCTGTGCCCCTCTCACCCTCCATTACGCTCTTCTCCTCTTTCTTCTATCACTTCCTCCCCCTCTCCCCAGCCCTGGTCTGTCCTGGCAACTTCCTCCCACTCTCCCCAGCCCTGGTCTGTCCTGGCATTTCCTCCCACTCTCCCCAGCCCTTGTCTGTCCTGGCAACTTCCTCCCCCTCTCCCCAGCACTGGTCTGGTCTGTACTGGCAACTTCCTCCCCCTCTCCCCAGCCCTGGTCTGGTCTGTCCTGGCAACTTCCTCCCCCTCTCCCCAGCCCTGGTCTGGTCTGTCCTGGCAACTTCCTCCCCCTCTCCCCAGCCCTGGTCTGGTCTGTCCTGGCAACTTCCTCCCCCTCTCCCCAGCCCTGGTCTGGTCTGTCCTGGCAACTTCCTCCCCCTCTCCCCAGCCCTGGTCTGGTCTGTCCTGGCAACTTCCTCCCCCTCTCCCCAGCCCTGGTCTGGTCTGTCCTGGCAACTTCCTCCCCCTCTCCCCAGCCCTGGTCTGGTCTGTCCTGGCAATTTCCTCCCCCTCTCCCCAGCCCTGGTCTGTCCTGCCAGTAGAGATAATGCTCTGTGTCATGTCTGGAGAGGATGGCTGCAGTATAATGAAGTGAAGGGGACGTGTTACAATGGCAGGCTGACAGCTCACCCCTGGTTCTCATTCAGCGAAACAGAGCTTGACAATATAATTACAGCCTGTTAAAGAGGGCCCATGTTAAGAGGCCTGGGTCCTGTTCAATCACTGCAGCTCTCTGGCTACTTTATTACTTTGATCCCAGGCCTAATCTAATCTGAGACGGGCTTTGAGAGGGGCCTGCGACTACAGCCACTAACAGCAGGTAGCATTATATCTCCCTTGTCTGTGAATGTCTGCACATTTGGGAAATTAATCTAGTGTGTACCGGTTTGTGTGATACATGCCTGCATATCATATCATAGGTCCCTCTGGGATGATTTATCATGATACATTTCTGCAATAAATATATTTTCTATTCCTATATGCTTAGTTTACAAAATAAAACAATATCAGAAATGGTGTTATTATGTCAGTCATCTAACAGATTACATGTGCTATGGATAGATAATGCAGCTAATGTTACAATATGAAATGACATCTCACAACAATGCTTTCACAGTTTTTGTGTTTATATTTTTCTCTTTCCCCTAAGCCCTGGTAGTGAACTTCTTTCCCCGCCAGCGCTTTCTCTAAAAATGGCAAATGTGACAGTAATTTGATACTTCTCCTAAACTTTGCAGCAGGAGCAGAGCAAGGTGTGTGCCTGGCTGGCAGGAATGAAAACAAGCGTTAATGGTGAGCTCCAGGCCACATTTCACTAAAGCAGCAAAGGGAGAGAAACACAAGCTACAGGCGGAGAAGGGTTTATTACCTGGAAATGTGTGTTTTTGGGTGGGCTGCAGTGTGTGAGTGAGGAAAATAATATTCCTGCTTGTTAGTGACACTTGGAAATGGTTGTTTACGTGACTAACACTTTGGTCTCTGAGAGGCCCTGACTCGCATTTATTATTTATCGCAGTGAACCATGACACCAAATAGCACAAACACAACAAACGACACTGGCTTCAAATGGCATGTCTCCACCAGGGACCTATCCCCAGAACTAGAGGAACAGAAAACAATATAGACTAATGTATTATCGCCCCGATGCTTGTACAGTCATTCATTTCATGGAACTGCATTACTGAATTGAAATTACCCTGAAATGAGAAAAACAAAATGTTCTTTTACCTCCAGCTATGACTTACCGTTTTTACTTTCACTCCCTCCTTTGGCGTCTGTTTGGTGGTCAGGCTATAGCCTAGCATCTTATTGGCCAGCTCACCCACCACAGAGGGGCTAAAGAAGAGACAGGATTGTCTCAATTACAACTACTTAATTAATAGATCTTTGATTACAGACAAAAACCTAGAGGACAAACATCTTTCATAAATAGAGGACTATCAACCATAGCAGATAACAGAGTAATTATTTTCAGCTCCTGAGTAACGTTTTCTTTTCAACAAAGACATGGTTCAGCACATTTGCAGTGTGATTGTAAGGCTCTCCTGGTTTCGGCTGCTCTTTAAAGAAAGTGTGAGTCTCATTCCTGTTACTCGCCTTGCTCTGGTTTTTATAACATACAAATGAAGCCTGAGTTTGTGCTTTGCTTTGATAGATGGTAGGAGAGTGAACTGTGTGCACACACACAGGTCACCGTCTGGGGATGCTTAACTTCAGATGGTTCACTTAGAAAAGTTTCTGGTTATCCCAAATACTGAAATAGGGTGTGACAATGATACATATGTTGTAGCCATTTGTCGTAAATCACAGTTCAGGCCTTATCGTCACGCTGCTACCTTGGTTACATAACATTTTCTGCAGAGGAAACAATCTAGTAGCTGGCCAATGAAGATGTGGGTTGATGTGATATAAGATGGACAAACAGTAGATTGTTAGGGAAATCTGGCCAATATAGGCCTATAACAATGTGCTAGAAGAACACAATACGGTTGAGCTCCACTGTATCAGAGCTCCAATAACCTGATACAGTAACATTCAGTGAGGTGTGCACAGTGACATTTCCCAATGATAAATTCACTATTTCAAAGTTTAATTGGGGGCAGTTGTCCCTAAAGTAGCAAACGTAGCTTTTTATTGCAGGGTCTGTTTAAGTAGCTGCAGCAGAGGGAAGGCAACACTGTGTCTAGGAGGGATAACTGAAGCAGTAGTTAGAGAAAAAGAACAGAACCATTCTCTGAAGGGTCCATTACTCAAACCACACCTCAGTGAGTGCGGCTGGCGGGGGTACTCACTCTTTAGTTAAGTGCACTCCACCTTTAAGGCCACTGTTGAACACACCCTTCCCTCGTCCCCCAGCCAGAATCTGGGCCTTCAGGACTATCTCCTTGGCGTCTGAAAGAGAGAGGGAGGAGAGAAAAAGAGGAGAGAAGGGCTCCGTCAGCAGGAGAGAGATAGACAGCCAGGTTGTGAGAGAGGAGAAGAGCATGAGACCTCTTCAATAGTACATCACAGAGCCCATTACACTTTCCCCTGTCTGAGTAAAATGTCATCTCACCAATCACCCTGGGTCTCCATTAGCTCCTGTCCTATCTAGAGGAGAGGAGGGGGAGGAAGAGGGGGCTAGGAGGAGAGGTACGTGATGGCATGAGGGGAAGGGTACTCCAGCTCACGTATGACATTCTCCTCTAGCCATGCTAATTACAGACTAAAGCAAACTTCTCAAATACAGAGTAGAGAGGGTACCCTGTAGACAACAGTTGAAAGAACATGCCCATATAGACAGGTAAACACTCCCATACTAGGCACATGCATACAAACAGTCATGATTCCAAAGACATAGGCTAGACATACAAACATGTATCAACCTAATCTAAACATTTTCTTTGGCCAATGTGTTAATTTGTGTCATTTGACTGTCTCTTTAGAGTTCTGACTAACCATTGCAATTTTATGGCATTTTAACGATGCTAACACCATATAGGCCTACTCTACTTACCCACTCTGTCACCTCCAAGTCCTCTTTTCTACACCATGAGAGAGCACTTCTGGTAGAGCACTCAGCTGTCTATTCAGCTGCCCCCTGAACAGTCTCCCTTTATTCAAATGGTGCAACAAGTGCACTTGATGGGATATGGTCTTGAGCTATCACTATCCTGGCGGGGAGTTCCACCATTGGCCACCAGAACATGTAAAGAAAGGCACGTCGACCTTGGGCCAGGAACATAGCTCTCTTACTCTCAGTGAGGCTCCTCAAGCTGAGTGGCTCCTCAAGCTGAGTGGCTCAGGCTGCTACAGTAGGAACAAGCCCCAGACAAAGTAGGCTCTGACAAGATGGCAGGGATTAAACCAACACTGAATTAATGAGCTCTGTTCTCCCCTGGGATGAGGAGGAGAGAGAAAGACAGAGAGAAAAGGTGAGCACACGCAGGGGCTGTGAGTAGTCATAAATTAATAAATATGTCAATAAAAAAACTGCTACCGCGCAAAATTAAAATTGAGTTCAAAGCAAGATGAAATGGAGTGTCCTACGGGCATGTGCAGCAGAGAGGGACGGAACAGAGGAAATTAGGAAATTACTTTTGTTAAAAGAAAAAGGGGGTGGGGGGGCAGTGGGAGCCAATGAGGAAGGTGTTATTTCTTAGCACTGACAAGAGGCGTGCTGCAAGGTGTAGAAAGGACCGAGACAGGGTCGTCTCTGGAAGGAGGAGAGGAGTGAGGGATGAGGATGATTAAGGTGCAGTATGGGAAGCACTGGCTAGACAGGAAATGGACAGAAACAGGAGAAAAGAATGAGGGAATAGTGTGAAGGGAAATGTGTAGCCTATAGTATGAAAAATGTATGCACTCACTAATTGTAAGTTGCTCTGGATAAGAGTGTCTGCTAAATGACTAAAATGTCCCCAAAAAATAGCCAGACATGATTTGTTATTGAGAGGTGGTGCTCCTTACACTGCAGAGCATGGCTATGGACAGTAAGCTGTTTCACACAGTGAGCAGAACATATAAAAGGTGCCCTGATAACATACCAAAGCCCAAATAATTACTCATATACAATTTATCACACAGGAAAAGAGTATCTGGATATACTTAAGACATCTTTAGTGGAGCATATGAAGCCTACTTATCAGAAGAGGAAGGAGCGATAAGCCTCTTAACGAATGGACCGTTTCCTCATCAAATCACTCGCTTGGAAAAGTGGCCTTGATTACACATACAAAACACACCCGACCTTTACAGTGGCTTGTTAAGACTGCAAAACACCTCTCTCAGCCTGTTCTTTTATTTCCAGTTTTTCCCGACTGTGTCATCATTGTAGATTTTCTGAAGCTGCCACCACCAAGGATAAAAAACCCTCTGTCAAAATGCATCGTGAAGTAATGATGCCCTCAAAGATCACAGTGAACATGGCACTGTGTGAGCGCAGAGCAGACATTACCAATGTGTATAAACCCTGGATGACTGACAGGGTGTGCTGTATTGAAGCCACTGCGCAGCCATCTTGGTACTCCTCCTCAATTGTAAAAAAAGAAAGACTTAGGAAACTATAGAAATGCATTTATTAATGTCTACATTCGTTTTTGACATGTTTATTATATTATTAGACACTTTAATGCATACTTTTAAATTGTATGTGAGTTAAACATAAAAATAAAAACAATTCCTTAAAGTATATATTTTTAGAGAGTACTAATATTACTGTCCCCACTACAACAACAAAATACATGTATTTTTGTCCTTGAAACATTAAATTAAAATACTGTTGAATTCCATTCATTCCTATGGAGGACTGCTCCTACTAGGGAGTGCCAATATGGCCGACAGGTGGCTTCAAAGCCTCTCAATGGCCAATACATAGCGTCAGCAATCCAGAGTTTATATACGTCATTGGACGTATACCCATTAATGCTCCAGACATGAAACAGCACCGAACACAGGCAGTGTTACACTTGTGTGAAGATGACGCCACTGAAGAGCATTGATGGATTTGTGTGAGTCTCTCAATAACTCACTCACTCATATAGATGACATTTATTCAATGTGTCAGGTAAACTGCTTTTTAAAGGTAAATCTTTAGGGATATTTAGGGTATTTCTATATCAATGGCAGCCATTGAAGGAAACAGCTATTTATTCTGTTACGGACAGTTATCGGAGGTCCAAATACAAAACAACGAAACTGTGCCTCCTCGCCCATTGATGATAGCACAAAAACAACTAAAGGACTCCGGGAGCAAGAGGTAGAACTTTGTTGATTGAATGCAGAGGATTGATGAAATCAGATACACTGCGAGAGCAGTTTGACCATGACACCACACAACACTAACATTCAATATGGCAAAAACATGCAGGAGATGATTACAACAGTTATTCTTTTAGAGTTTATTTTACCTGTGAAACTGATATTATTAATATAATAATGAATTCTCAGAAGTTATGCATATTAGCAGTAAAAGTTAAGGTGAATAGAAAATCCCCTCTCCGCACAGGCTACACAAACGCCTCACACCGCGTGGTTGCTGCCTCTCTAACCGGGTGGTCCCTGCACGTACGACCCACGTGGAGTTCCAGGCAGCCTCTGGAACTGCCGTTCTGCTGCCAACAAGGCAGAGTTCATCTCAGCCTATGCTACCCTCCAGTCCCTCGACTTCTTGGCGCTGACGGAAACATGGATTACCACTGAAAACACTGCTACCCCTGCTGCTCTCTCCTCGTCTGACCATGTGTTCTCGCATACCCCGAGAGCATCTGGTCAGCGGGGTGGTGGCACAGGAATCCTCATCTCTCCCAAGTGGACATTCTCAATTTTTCCCCTGACCCATCTGTCTATCTCCTCATTTGACTTCCATGCTGTCACAGTCACTAGCCCATTTAAGCTTAATATCCTTGTCATCTATCGCCCTCCAGGTTCCCTTGGAGAGTTCATCAATGAGCTTGACGCCTTGATAAGTTCCTTTCCTGAGGATGGCTCACCCCTCACAGTTCTGGGGGATTTCAACCTCCCTACGTCTACATTTGACTCATTTCTCTCTGCCTCCTTCTTTCCACTCCTCTCCTCTTTTGACCTCACCCTCTCACCGTCCCCCCCTACTCACAAGGCAGGCAATACGCTTGACCTCATCTTCACTAGATGCTGTTCTTCTACTAATCTCACTGCAACTCCCCTCCAAGTCTCCGACCACTACTTTGTATCCTTTTCTCTCTCCCTCTCCTCCAACACTACTCACTCTGCCCCTACACAGATGGTAATGTGCCGTCGCAACCTTCGCTCTCTCTCTCCCGCTACTCTCTCCTCTTCCATCCTATCATCTCTTCCCTCTGCTCAATCCTTCTCCCTCCAATCTCCTGATTCTGCCTCCTCAACCCTCCTCTCCTCCCTTTCTGCATCCTTTGACTCTCTATGTCCCCTATCCTCCCGGCCGGCTCGGTCCTCCCCTCCAGCTCCGTGGCTTGATGACTCATTGCGAGCTCACAGAACAGGGCTCCGGGCAGCCGAGCGGAAATGGAAGAAAACTAGACTCCCTGCGGACCTGGCATCTTCTCACTCCCTCCTCTCTACATTCTCTTCATCAGTTTCTGCTGCTAAGGCCACTTTCTACCACTCTAAATTCCAAGCATCCGCCTCTAACCCTAGGAAGCTCTTTGCCACATTCTCCTCCCTGCACTTGTCATCTCCCGTCTGGATTACTGCAACTCGCTGTTGGCTGGGCTCCCTGCCTGTGCCATTAAACCCCTACAACTCATCCAGAATGCTGCAGCCCGTCTGGTGTTCAACCTTCCCAAGTTCTCTCACGTCACCCCGCTCCTCCGCACACTCCACTGGCTTCCAGTTGAAGCTCGCATCTGCTACAAGACCATGGTGCTTACCTACGGAGCTGTGAGGGGAACGGCACCTCCGTACCTTCAGGCTCTGATCAGTCCCTACACCCAAACGAGGGCACTGCGTTCATCCACCTCTGGCCTGCTGGCTCCCCTACCTCTGCGGAAGCATAGTTCCCGCTCAGCCCAGTCAAAACTGTTCGCTGCTCTGGCACCCCAATGGTGGAACAAGCTCCCTCCCTCACGACGCCAGGACAGCGGAGTCACTCACCACCTTCCGGAGACATTTGAAACCCCACCTCTTTAAGGAATACCTGGGATAGGATAAAGTAATCATCCCACTGGCTATAAGGTGAATGCACCTATTTGTAAGTCGCTCTGGATAAGAGCGTCTGCTAAATGACATAAATGTAAATGTAAGTGGAAGGGACAGGCAGGCAGTATTGCATAACCAGCCATCTATTTCCAGTGGAACCATATAAAGGCATGGCAAATCTGAAGTGATATTTTCTTCTCCATGTAGTTTTTTTTAGGGACAGACACAGAAGATGAGATTAACATGTAACTACATCTTCAATCGCATCAGCTGTAATCTGAGTTACACGGCCATCCCCGGGCTAACTCATTTCCCAGTAATGAACGCAAATGAACTCCCAGCCTATTTACTGATGACAGCAGTCGGCATCGAGGCTGTTCCTTCTGCCTCAACAACATCTCCCCTCTCATTGTATTTCAAACGTTCTGTCCTCCTCCTCTCTCGGCGGTCCGGAAGGATGTAGCCCAGGGGTTAGGGACAGCAGAGTTAGCGATGTCTGATATTTAATTAAGCCATAAAAGGCTGTGCACTGGGGGACTGGATAAAGGGCCAATCTGGAGAGAATTAGATAGTGTCTGTCTGCAGGCCACGCCAGGGAGAGGATAGTGTCTGTCTGCAGGCCACGCCAGGGAGAGGATAGTGTCTGTCTGCAGGCCACGCCAGGGAGAGGATAGGGGAATGTAGCTATTTTGCTGGTAGCATTCATTACGATAAGTAGCAAAGAAATGTGAAGTTTGAAATGAAATAATATGGGGGATTGTTAATGGGACAATTGATGGCTACAACCACCAAACTACTAGTAGTTGCTTAAAAGGACAATAACAAAAACAGTGGTTCACATTGTTAAACGTATTATTCTATATCATTATCACATCAATTTAAAATGGATTGCGATATGGATTTTTGTCCACATCTTCCAGCTCTATGTTATTTGTTATTTTTCTGCATTTTTATTTTTTACTTCAGTTTATTTTAGTAAATACTTTAACACTTACAGTGAGGGAAGAAAGTATTTGATCCCCTGCTGATTTTGTACATTTGCCCACTGACAAAGACATGATCAGTCTATAATTTTAATGGTAGGTTTATTTGAACAGTGAGAGACAGAATAACAACAACAACATCCAGAAAAACGCATGTCAAAAATGTTATAAATTGATTTGCATTTTAATCATAGGCAGCATTCCTCCTCCTCCAAACACGGCGAGTTGAGTTGCTGCCAAAGAGCTTGATTTTGGTCTCATCTGACCACAACACTTTCACCCAGTTCTCCTCTGAATCATTCAGATGTTCATTGGCAAACTTCAGACGGCCCTGTATATGTGCTTTCTTGAGCAGGGGGTCCTTGCGGGTGCTGCAGGATTTCAGTCCTTCACGGCGTAGTGTGTTACCAATTGTTTTCTTGGTGACTATGGTCCCAGCTGCCTTGAGATCATTGACAAGATCCTCCCGTGTAGTTCTGGGCTGATTCCTCACCGTTCTCATGATCATTGCAACTCCACGAGGTGAGATCTTGCATGGAGCCCCAGGCCGAGGGAGATTGACAGTTATTTTGTGTTTCTTCCATTTGCGAATAATCGCACCAACTGTTGTCACCTTCTCACCAAGCTGCTTGGCGATGGTCTTGTAGCCCATTCCAGCGTTGTGTAGGTCTACAATCTTGTCCCTGAAATCCTTGGAGAGCTCTTTGGTCTTGGCCATGGTGGAGAGTTTGGAATCTGATTGATTGATTGCTTCTGTGGACAGGTGTCTTTTATACAGGTAACAAACTGAGATTAGGAGCACTCCCTTTAAGAGTGTGCTCCTAATCTCAGCTCGTTACCTGTATAAAAGACACCTGGGAGCCAGAAATCTTTCTGCTTGAGAGGGTGTCAAATACTTATTTCCCTCATTAAAATGCAAATCAATTTATCAAAATTTTTACATGCGTTTTTCTGGATTTTTTTGTTGTTATTCTGTCTCTCACTGTTCAAATAAACCTACCATTAAAATTATAGACTGATCATTTCTTTGTCAGTGGGCAAACGTACAAAATCAGCAGGGGATCAAATACTTTTTTCCCCTCACTGTAAAACTGCATTGTTGGTTAAGGGCTTGTAAGTAAGCGTTTCACGGTAAGGTCTACACCTGTTGTATTCGGCGCATGTGACAAATACATTTTGATTTGAATCAACACACACAGGAACAATCAAAGTGAATCGATTCAGTGTCTACTACAGATAGGTGCTTCAAACGCTATAAGTAGAAAGTAGAAACAGAGCATTCTAATTATAAAATGTACATGATAACTCAGTATACCTGATAAATCGTGTAGCTCAGTTGGTAGAGCATGGCGCTTGCAACGGCAGGGTTGTGGGTTCGATTCCCACGGGGGGCCAGTATGAAAAAAAAAGTATGCACTCTGGATAAGAGCGTCTGCTAAATGACTAAAAATGAAAAAATGTAAATGGTGTGTGTGTGCGCGCGCGTGAGAGAGAAAGAGCTTGGCTACATGGAGACTACTGTCTAGTTTGGTTAATCAGGCTGACCCCTAGTCTACAGTCGTGGTCAAAAGTTTTGAGAACGACACAAATATAAATTTTCACAAAGTCTGCTGCCTCAGTTTTGATGATGGCAATTTGCATATACTCCAGAATGTCATGAAGAGTGATCAGATGAATTGCAATTAATTGCAAAGTCCCTCTTTGCCATGAAAATGAACTTAATCCCAAAAAAACATTTCCACTGCATTTCAGCCCTGCCACAAAAGGACCAGCTGCCATCATGTCAGTGATTCTCTCGTTAACACAGGTGAGAGTGTTGACGAGGACAAGGCTGGAGATCACTCTGTCATGCTGATTGAGTTAGAATAATACACTGGAAGCTTTAAAAGGAGGGTGGTGCTTGAAATCATTGTTGTTCCTCTGTTAACCATGGTTACCTGCAAGGAAACACGTGCCGTCATCATTGCTTTGCACAAAAAGGGCTTCACAGGCAAGGATATTGCTACTAGTAAGATTGCACCTAAAATCAACCATTTATCGGATCATCAAGAACTTCAATTGTGGTGAAGGCGGCGTCAGGGCGCCCAAGAAAGTCCAGCAAGTGCCAGGGCCGTCTCCCAAAGTTGATTCAGCTGCGGGATCGAGGCACCACCAGTGCAGAGCTTGCTCAGGAATGGCAGCAGGCAGGTGCGAGTGCATCTGCACGCACAGTGAGGGGAAGACTTTTGGGGGATGGCCTGGTGTCAAGAAGGGCAGCAAAGAAGCCACTTCTCTCCAGGAAAAACATCAGGGACAGACTGATATTCTTCAACATGTACAGGGATTGGACTGCTGAGGACTGGGGTAAAGTCATTTTCTCTGATGAATCCCCTTTCCGATTGTTTGGGGCATCCGGAAAACACCTTGTCCGGAGAAGACAAGGTGAGCGCTACCATCAGTCCTGTGTCATGCCAACAGTAAAGAATCCTGAGACCATTCATGTGTGGGGTTGCTTCTCAGCCAAGGGAGTGGGCTCACTCACAATGTTTCCTAAGAACACAGCCATGAATAAAGAATGGTACCAACACATCCTCCGAGAGCAACTTATCCCAACCATCCAAGAACAGTTTGGTGACGACCAATGCCTTTTCCAGCATGATGGAGCACCTTGCCATAAGGCAAAAGTGATAACTAAGTGGCTCGGGGAACAAAACATCAACATTGAGTCCATGGCCAGGAAACTCCCCAGACCTTAATCCCATTGAGAACTTGTGGTCGATCCTCAAGAGGCGGGTGGACAAACAAAACCCCACAAATTCTGACAAACTCCAAACATTGATTATGCAAGAATGGGCTGCCATCAGTCAGGATGTGGCCCATAAGTTAATTGACAGCATGCCAGGGCGGATTGCAGAGGTCTTGAAAAAGAAGGGTCAACACTGCAAATATTGACTCTTTGCATAAACTTAATGTAATTGTCAATAAAAGCCTTTGACACTTACAGAATGCTTGTAATTAATAATAATAAATAATAATAAAAAATGTTGTAATTATACTTCAGTATACCATAGTAACATCTGACAAAAATCTCATAACACTGAAGCAGCAAACTTTGTGAAGACCAATACTTGTGTCATTCTCAAAACTTTTGACCACGACTGTACACTTTAAGATATTGAGGGATGATGATATTTTGCCAATGTGAAGATAGGAATTCCAGAGTATGGAACCGCTGTATCTGCTAGGGAATTTACTATGTGAAGAAGAGGCAGTGGGGAGGGTGAACGTTATCGTAGTGTATTGTGTTGTATGCATGGATTTGGGAATTAACCTGGTTTAGGAAGGCTGTCTGGGAGGTATGTGTATTTGTTGATGAAGGTACATCATTTGAGTATTATGAACCTCCCCCCTGCTTCTCCCCCTATGGACATGCCACCCCCCAACGCACTTTTACTCTGCCCCCACCCCAACGACATTCATCACTGTTGCAGTTGTTAATATGAATATTATTACTTTTTTAATAGTTTTAATTTCACTTCATCCCCACACCCCCTCAATGGTCATGCTGCTCCCCCTATGGTCATTCCACCCCACCCCCTCAACAGTCTTTACCCTACCTCCACCCAAATGGACATGTATTTATTCATCACTGCTACAGTTGTTATTATGTATATAGTACTATTTCTATTTCTATTGTTTTTATTACCATTTTCATTATTTTATTTCACTTAGTCCTGCATGTTGGAGCTCCAAGCCTAAGATTTTCATTGTACCCTGCAATCACACCTGCAACCCTACACAGGTGACTATTAAAACTCTGAACATTTAGAATCTAGATAATGACTTGTATCGAGAACACACCTAGGCCTATCATTCTGCACTGCTGCAGTAATGAAGCTTAGTAAATGCAGTTTACAAACTGGTAAGCCTTTATTTCCTTATGACTAGTATGAGGCTAATGGTAAGCCACCAAAAACAGAGTATGTGACCTCGGAGCTGTGCAATGCTGTTGCATTACCCATTCCTACTGCGTCTCTGCTCTCCGAGCCAGGTAACGGCCACTCAGAGGATGTGGCTGTATCTAATGATGTCTGTGGAGCTCTACAGGGTTTCATCATCAACCTAGACCTCTGCTGCCTGCTGTAGTATCATATCCTCCTGTCACTACCCACATGACAGCCGACTCCTCGTTAGGCTCCACACACTGTCCGTACTAAAGATTTCCAGAGCTGGACTAAGTGGCACTCTAGGGCAGAGGCGCAGAGTTCAAACCCCTGGACCAGTGTGGAGACTGTTAGTCACTCTGGAGGAAGACTTTACAGACAACGGCCCAGGGGTATGGTCATCTAAAGTTATGAGCCAATGTCTCATTAATGGCATATAGTCATTTTAATGAACAATGGCATTCTACAGGAATAGCAATAAGGGAACGGGCTAAGGTCATTACGATGAGCATACTCAAGCCTGCTGACACAAACACGACTGAAGAGATGAACTTCAAATCAAATTAAATGTTATTTGTCACAATCTTACCGTGAAATGATTACTTACAAGCCCTTAACCAACAATGCAGTTCCAGAAATAGAGTTAAGAAAATATTTACTAAATAAACTAAAGTTAAAAATAAAAAGTAACACAATAAAGTTACATAACAATAACAAGGCTATATACAGGGGGTACCAGTACCGAGTCAATTTGCGGGGGTACAGGTTAGTCGAGGTAGTTTGTACATGCATAGATAATAAACAGCGAGCACCAGCGGGGGGGTTAATGTAAATACTCCGGGTGGCCATTTGATAAATTGTTCAGCAGTCTTATGGCTTGGGGGTAGAGGCTGTTAAGGAACCTTTTGGACTTAGACTTGGCGCTCCGGTACAGCTTGCCGTGCAGTAGCAGAGAGAACAGTCTATGACTTGGGTGACTGGATTCTTTGAAAATGTTTTGGGCCTTCCTCTGACACCACCTAGAATATAGGTCCTGGATGGCAGGAAGCTTGGCCCCAGTGATGTATTGGGCCGTACGCACTACCCTCTGTAGCGCCTTGCGGTCGGATGCCGAGCAGTTGCCATACCAGGCGGTGAAGCAACCGGTCAGGATGCTCTCGATGGTGCAGCTGTATAACTTTGAGGATCTGGGGACCCATGCCAAATCTTTTCAATGTCCCACAGAACTTTAAACTCTCGACACGCTCCACTACAGCCCCATCGATGTTAATGGGGGCCTTGCTCACACTAGTTGTCCTGGCACCACACTGCCAGGTCTCTGACCTCCTCCCTATAGGCTGTCTCATCGTTGTCGGTGATCAGGCCTACCACTGTGTTGTCGTCAGCAAACTTAATGGTGTTGGAGTCGTGCTTGGCCATGCAGTCGTGGGTGAACAAGGAGTACAGGAGGGGACTAAGCACGCACCCCTGAGGGGCCCCGGTGTTGAGGATCAGTGTGGCAGATGTGTTGTTGCCTACCCTTACCACCTGGGGGCGGCCCGTCAGGAAGTCCAGGATCCAGTTGCAAAGGGAGGTGTTTAGTCCCAGGGTCCTTAGCTTAGTGATGAGCTTTGTGGGCACTATAGTGTTGAACGCTGAGCTGTAGTCAATGAACAGCATTCTCACATTGGTGTTCCTTTTGTTCAGGTGGGAAAGGGCAGTATGGAGTGCGATTGAGATTACGTCATCTGTGGATCTGTTGGGGCGGTATGCGAATTGAAGTTGGTCTAGGGTTTCCGGGATGATGGTGTGAGCCATGACCAGCCTTTCAAAGCACTTCATGGCTACCGACATGAGTGCTACGGGGCGGTAGTCATTTAGGCAGGTTACCTTCGCATTCTTGGGAACAGGGACTATGGTGGTCTGCTTGAAACATGTGGGTATTACAGACTCGGTCAGGGAGAGGTTGAAAATGTCAGTGAAGACACTTGCCAGTTGGTCCGCGCATGCTCTGAGTATACGCCCTGGTAATGCGTCTGGCCCCGCGGCCTTGTGAATGTTGACCTGTTTAAAGGTCTTGCTCACGTCGGCTACGGAGAGCCGGTGACTGAGGTGGTATACTCCTCAATGCCAATGGATGAATCCCGGAACATATTCCAGTCTGTGCTAGCAAAACAGTCCTGTAGCGTAGCATCCGCGTCATCTGACCACTTCCGTATTGAGCGAGTCACTGGTACTTCCTGTATGAGTTTTTGCTTTTAAGCAGGAATCAAGAGGATAGAATGAAGGTGATCTAGAGTTGTTTCCCCCCTAGTTGCACGTGACATGCTGGTAGATATTAGGGCAAACGGATTTCAGTTTTCCTCCATTAAATCCCCGGCCAGTAGGAGCGCTGCCTCTGGATGAGTATTTTCTTGTTTGCTTAAGGCCGTATACAGATCGTTGAGTGGTGTCTTAGTGCCAGCATCGGTTTGTGGTGGTAAATAGTCAGCTACGAAGAGTATAGATGAAAACTTGCTTCGTAGATAGTGTGGTCTACAGCTTATCATGAGGTACTCTAACTCAGGCGAGCAATACCTAGAGACTTCATTAATATTAAAGATTGCGCACCAGCTGTTGTTAAAGACACGTCCAGATTGAGGTGAGTGATCGGTTTTCTGATGTCCAGAAGCTCTTTTCAGTCATTGGAAATGATGGCAAACATTATGAACAAAAAAAGTTACAAAACTGTGCAAAAAATAACAACATAGCACAATTGGTCAGGAGCCCGTAAAACGGCAGCCATCCCCTCCGGCACCATTCTTATCCTATTGAAATTAAGTGAATGTCTCCGATCACTGCATTAGTGAACAAAAATCTCCCAGATAACTTTGTGTACTTGATGCAATAACACAGCACATTGACATTAGTGTGTGTGCGCCGGAGAGAGAGATGCACGCATGACTAAGTCGCTTTGGATAAAAGTATACCCATCTTTGATTCCACAGAGAAGAGGAGCTACATTGTAGGACGGACAGAGGATCATCATTATCTGTGGCTATCGCCTTAGACCACGTCGTTTCTCTGAGAGAACATCACATTACACAGACCGACACAATTAATAAGTGTAGTGTGTGTGTGTGTGTGTGTGTGTGTGTGTGTGTGTGTGTGTGTGTGTGTGTGTGTGTGTGTGTGCGGGAGAGAGAGAGAGAGAGATGCACGCATGACTAAGTCGCTTTGGATAAAAGTGTCTGCTAAATGAGATATATAGTGCATTCTGAAAAAATTCAGACCACTTCACTTTTTCCACATTGTTACGTTACAGCATTATTCTAAAATGGATTAAATTAATTGAGTTCCTCATCAATCTACACACAATACCCTTAATGACAACGCGAAAGCAGGTTTTTAGACATTTTGGCAAAAAACTGAAATACCTCAGACCCTTTGCTATGAGACTCGTAATTGAGCTCAGGTGCATCCTGTTTCCATTGATCTTCCTTGAGATGTTTCTACAACTTGATTGGAGTCCACCTGTGGTAAATTCAATTGATTGGACATGATTTGGAAAGGCACACTCCTGTCTATATAAAGGTCCCACAGTTGACAGTGCATGTCAGAGCAAAAACCAAGCCATGAGGTCGAAGGAATTGTCCGTAGAGCTCAGAGACAGGATTGTGTCAAGTCACAGATCTGGGGAAGGGTACCAAAACATTTCTGCAGCATTGAAGGTCCCCAAGAACACAGTGGCCTCCATCATTCTTAAACGGAAGAAGTTTGGAACCACCAAGACTCTTCCTAGAGAAGGGCCTTTGTCAGGGAGGTGACCAACAACCCGATGGTCACTCTGACAGAGCTCCAGAGTTCCTCTGTGGAGATGGGAGAACCTTCCAGAAGGACAACCATCACTGCAGCACTCCACCAATCAGGTATTTATGGAAGAGACGCCAGATGGAAGCCACTCCTCAGTAAAAGGCACATGACAGCCTGCTTGCAGTTTGACACATGGCACCTAAATAAATAATCAAATACATCTGTCCTCCCCTTTTCCCATGTTTCCTGGAGATTTTATGAATGGTTTAGTTTTGTAGTACTTTCAACTCATTCTGTGGTATAAACACATTCATAACTATTTTATAACACCTCAAATTAATGTAACTTTACTGAAGGTGTATGTGCACACTATAAGGACATATTTACATTTAAGTAATTTAGCAGACGCTCTTATCCAGAGCGACTTACAAATTGGTGCATTCAACTTAGGGGGGGTGGGGGGGGGTAGAAGGATTACTGTTATACTATTCCAGGTATTCCTTAAAGAGGTAGGGTTTCAAGTGTCATTCCATTCAATGTAATAATGTGACAAAGTGGTTGGTAAATGAAATAATACCCTGTTATAACATCTTGTATGTAGACTCTTATGTAGAATGTACTAACATCACATAAGTTGTCATGCAGACTATGTAATAGCAGTCCTTATTAACAGTTGATATTAGAGCATATGACAACACATCTATAACATAACTCGTTTTATAATATCATAACTGTTATGACAATTTGACAGCTTAAGACAAATGTAATGTTTTATATAGCTGTTATAAAGACGTTATGAATGCATGCATAAGGACACCTACAGTAAAGTGTTATCCATATTGCACATAATAGCAGTACAATTCCTCATGCAATCCACTTGCTGACTCTATTTTCTCATTTACAGAAACAGTGTGTGTCCACCACCACATACACACTCGTCTTAGGGCAGGGAAACCCTGATTGAGTCTATGCCAGCCAGAGTATTAGATGCTTGCTGGCTGCCTGTGACCCAAAACCACTGCCGCCATCTTTATCTGCCCTCAAGAGTAGTCTTCTAGCTGCCAACATTCATGTCCATGTCAATCAAAATCCTCCTCAATGCTGCCTGCCCGCCCTTTTTCTCCCCATCTCTCTCCATCTCTCCCCAGCTCTCCCCAAGCCTCTCAGAACAGCACAATATCTGAGGTTTTTCAGTATTGAGCATGGCTGTGATTCCATTTACCTCAGAGAAGAGTCAGAAAAGCTACACCTTATCAAACAGTTCCATCACACCAAGTGCTCAGATTCCAGTCTTCTCCAAGTCCCTCACTCAGTCGAGACGAGGGTTGCACTGAATCTGACGGCTCACTAGATGCTCAAGACATCATACTGTATGACGTTAATCAATTAACGAGGCTACTTCTAAACTTGATGGGATTTATTTAACTACGTATGCTGAGGTAGTCCTACATCTAGTCCTACTCCTGTTTGTTTTAGCATGGCTAGAATGCAGGCCTTGTCCCAAGTCATTTCCATTCATTGGTGGAAAAAGCATCATTATCAAATGGAGTGTGGTGTAATAGAATGGAATGAGAATGGGCCCCACAGTATGAAGCAATCCAGACACAGGAATTTTGAAAACTGGAACGAATGCACAACTGAGACAGAAGAAAAAAAAAACATTGTATTTCTTCTAACAAATTTACTGCTGAATGGAGCATGGAATAGCCCTAATAAAACATGCAATTTAGAAGCAACATTACCAAAATAATGGCGCCATACCTTCAGCCTGAACAAGTTTTGGGCGCGTTGGCGAGGCGACGCAGCAGGGCCTAAAGCGTGAGTAACGGTAATGTGCCTCCCGCAATATCAATACAGCCCAGCTGTCACGAGTCCAAAATTACATTTTGATTTGTGAGGTCCCTGAAACACAGCTCATATTCCTCAGAATGTATTTACAAAATTATTTGAGAGGCATTCTGATTGTTTTACCGCAGAAACACAAATCAGAGATACGATTACAACCCTTTATGATCCATAAACTCACAGATTTCCGTACTAACAGCAATAGCTTTTTGTTTGGCCTTCCCTCACAGTGCTCACTCACACATTCTATTAGTGATTCAGAGGCCTGAGCAGGTTTGCTTATTGTAGCTGGCTGCAGTTGCACTTTAATGAAAGACAGTGGGTGCTATACAAACACAGGAACATTGCACACACGCTTGGTATAAACAACATACCGATATATTCTCACGGCGCGCATTTGCACAACTCAACACAAAACAGTTTGGTGGCCATGTTAATGCTATGTTGAGTACAAAATGAAGTTGGAAACACGAGAAGAAAACAAACCCTCATCCTGTCCTCAGGTCTTTCATCTCTCCACAGACAGAACAAGTGAGACCAGCTGACATACAACATCTAGGCCTACATGCCAGCGACACACTTTCAAAAAGACACTCCTCCATTCCCACCAGGGAGATATGATATCAAACAAAGGCCCTTGTGGAAATAAATAGAAGCGAAAAAAACACAGCAGTTGTTTGCACAGTTATGTTTAACACTGAATAACGGGGAGGTAGAGACAGGAAAGAACGTGAGTACACGTCACGCATGGCTGAGGAAGGAGGGGTTGACATATGGTACAAGCTCGGCGGAATGGTGGCTCAGGAGAGAAGCATATGCTACGCTCCAGATGATCTCAGACGCCAGCGCCATTCAGAGGTGTAAACGCTGCCCTGCTGCCAGCCAACCAGCAAGAGACATGGGAGGCCCAGGAGGACACCAGGAGCCTCTTTTATAGTACTGGACCATCAGCACTGGATTCAGCAAGGCTGTCGTGGTCAAACACAGTATCAGACAGACCACCTCTTTATCACAGTGGTCCATTAGTCTTGGACCACTTACATCATGGAATGCACTGGTTACAGTAAAACTACTCTGTAACACTCTGGCTCCGGGACTTTTGTATTTGAGCCAGGGTGTATTGTGTTTTGTTGGGTTTTGGGTGATTTTCTATGTTGGTAGTTCTGTTGTGTGTGTTTCTAGGTTTGGTCATTGACTCCCAATCGGAGGTAACGAGTGTCAGCTGTCGGCTCGTTATCTCTGATTGGGAGCCATATTTATACTGCATGTTTTCCTGTGGGCATTGTGGGTTATTGTTCCGTATTTCAGTATTTGTAACTGTGGACTTCACTAGCCGTCTTTGTTTATTGTTTTTGTCGTTCGTGTCTTTACTCAAATAAAGTCATGTTCACTCAACGCGTGCGCTGGTGCCCTTGAGAAGACCCGTCAGCACGGGGGGGGGGGGGGGGGGGGGGGGGGGATAAATGTCTTGGGCTAATGGATTATGTGCTTCTGAAAAATAACCACTTCATTTTTCCCATGTACGTACAGCATATTCAAATGGATAAATTAATTGAGTCCTCATAATTACACACAATACCTTAATGACAAAGCAACAGGTTTTAGACATTTTGGAAAAAACTGAATACTCAGACCTTTGCTATGACCGTAATTGACTCAGGTGCATCGTTCATGATCTTCCTTAATGTTTCTACAATTTGATTGGAGTCCCCTGGTAATTCAATTGTTTGGGCTGATTTGGAAAGGCACTCCTGTTATAAAGTCCCACTTGACAGATGTCGGCAAAAACCAAGCCATGAGTCGAAGGAATTGTCCGAATAAGGCAGGATTGTCAATCAAGACTGGGAGGGTCCCAAACATTTCTGCAGCTTGAAGGATTACTGTAACTATTCCAGATATTCTTAAAAGAGGTAGGGTTTCAGGCATTCCTTAAATGTAAAAATGTGAAAGTGTTGGGTAAATGAAATAATACCCTTTTATAACATCTGTATGTAGACTCTTATGTAGAATGTACTAACATCACATAAGTTGTCATGCAGACTATGTAATAGCAGTCCTTATTAACAGTTGATTTTAAAGGAGCATATGACAACACATCTATAACATAATTTCCGTTTTTATAATATCATAACTGTTATGACAATTTGCAGCTTAAGACAAATGTAATGTTTTATAGCTGTTATAAAGACGTTAGGGAATGCATGCAAAAGGACACCTACAGTAAAGTGTTATCCATTTTGCACATAATAGCAGTAAAAATCCCATGCAATCCACTTGCTGGACTCTATTTTTCTATTTACAGAACAGTGTGTGTCCAACCACCACATACACACTCGTCTTAGGGCAGGGAAACCTGATTGGTCTATGCCAGCCAGAGTATTAGATGCTTGCTGGCTGCCTGTGACCCAAACCACTGCCGCCATCTTTATCGGCCCTCAAGATAGTCTTCTAGCTGCCAACTTCATGTCCATGTCAATCAAAATCCCCTCAATGCTGCCTGCCCCCCCTTTTTTCTCCCCATCTCTCTCCATCTCCCCCCAGCTCTCCCCAAGCCTCTCAGAACAGCACAATATCTGAGGTTTTTTTTCAGTATTGAGCATGGCTGTGATTCCATTTACCTCAGAGAAGAGTCAGAAAAGCTACACCTTATCAAACAGTTCTATCACACCAAGTGCTCAGATTCCAGTCTTCTCCAAGTTCCCTCACTCAGTCGAGACGAGGGTTGCACTGAATCTGACGGCTCACTAGATGCTCAAGACATCATTACTGTATGACGTTAATCAATAACGAGGCTACTTCTAAACTTGATGGGATTTATTTAACTACGTATGCTGAGGTAGTCCTACATCTAGTCCATACTCCTGTTTGTTTTAGCATGGCGAGAATGCAGGCCTTGTCCCAAGTCATTTCCATTCATTGGTGGAAAAAGCATCATTATCAAATGGAGTGTGGTTGTAATAGAATGGAATGAGAATGGGCCCCCACAGTATGGAAGCAATCCAGACACAGGAATTTTGAAAACTGGGAACGAATGCACAACTGAGACAGAAGAAAAAAAACAACATTGTATTTCTTCTAACAAATTTACTGCTGAATGGAGCATGGAATAGCCCTAATAAACATGCAATTTAGAAGCAACATTACCAAAATAATGGCGCCATACCTTCAGCCTGAACAAGTTTTGGGCGCGTTGGCGAGGCGACGCAGCAGGGCCTAAAGCGTGAGTAACGGTAATGTGCCTCCCGCAATATCAATACAGCCCAGCTGTCACGAGTCCAAAATTACATTTTGATTTGTGAGGTCCCTGAAACACAGCTCATATTCCTCAGAATGTATTTACAAAATTATTTGAGAGGCATTCTGATTGTTTTACCGCAGAAACACAAATCAGAGATACGATTACAACCCTTTATGATCCATAAACTCACAGATTTCCGTACTAACAGCAATAGCTTTTTGTTTGGCCTTCCCTCACAGTGCTCACTCACACATTCTATTAGTGATTCAGAGGCCTGAGCAGGTTTGCTTATTGTAGCTGGCTGCAGTTGCACTTTAATGAAAGACAGTGGGTGCTATACAAACACAGGAACATTGCACACACGCTTGGTATAAACAACATACCGATATATTCTCACGGCGCGCATTTGCACAACTCAACACAAAACAGTTTGGTGGCCATGTTAATGCTATGTTGAGTACAAAATGAAGTTGGAAACACGAGAAGAAAACAAACCCTCATCCTGTCCTCAGGTCTTTCATCTCTCCACAGACAGAACAAGTGAGACCAGCTGACATACAACATCTAGGCCTACATGCCAGCGACACACTTTCAAAAAGACACTCCTCCATTCCCACCAGGGAGATATGATATCAAACAAAGGCCCTTGTGGAAATAAATAGAAGCGAAAAAAAACACAGCAGTTGTTTGCACAGTTATGTTTAACACTGAATAACGGGGAGGTAGAGACAGGAAAGAACGTGAGTACACGTCACGCATGGCTGAGGAAGGAGGGGTTGACATATGGTACAAGCTCGGCGGAATGGTGGCTCAGGAGAGAAGCATATGCTACGCTCCAGATGATCTCAGACGCCAGCGCCATTCAGAGGTGTAAACGCTGCCCTGCTGCCAGCCAACCAGCAAGAGACATGGGAGGCCCAGGAGGACACCAGGAGCCTCTTTTATAGTACTGGACCATCAGCACTGGATTCAGCAAGGCTGTCGTGGTCAAACACAGTATCAGACAGACCACCTATTTATCACAGTGGTCCATTAGTCTTGGACCACTTACATCATGGAATGCACTGGTTACAGTAAAACTACTCAGTGGGGGGCTTTGTATTTATGCCACTAAGTTTTTTACACAGAGTGGTTGTAATAGCAGCGGTCAAAAAAGTTATGCATTCACTCCTTTAAAAGACATACAGTGCATTCGGAAGTATTCAGGACCCCTTCTCCACTTGGGGAGCCATTATTCTTAAATTGATTTAAATTTAAAAAAGCCTCAATCTAACATAATGACAAAGCAAAACCTTTATTTTTTTTATTTTGCATTAATAAAAAATATAATACCTTATTTACTAAGTATTCAGACCCTTTGCTAGCAATCGGGGAGAAAGGGCCTTGGTCAGGGAGCTGACCAAGAACTGATGGTCACTGACAGAGCTCCAGAGTTCCTCTGTGGAGATGGAGAACCTTCCAGAAGGACAACCATCTCTGCAGCACTCCAACAATCAGGCCTTATGGTAGAGTGGCAGACGGAGCCACTCCTCATAAATGCCATGACAGCTCACTTGGAGTTTGCCAAAGGCACTAAAGGACTCTCAGATCAGAGAACAAGATTCCTGGTCTGATAAACCAAGATTGAATTCTTGCCTAAATGCCAGCGCATGTCTGGAGGAAACCTGGCAACCATCCCTACGTGGCAGCATCAGCTGTGGGATGTTTTTCACAGGACGGAGCTTCGAAGTGAGCAAGCTACGGATCCTTGATGAACAAGCTCCGAGTGCCAGGGCCTCAGATGGGGGAAGCCTTACGGCACGACTAGCCAGCCAAGACACGAGTAGTGGCTTCAACAAGTCCTGAATGTCTTGAGGGCCAGCCAGAGCCCGACTGAACCCGACTAACATTGGAGACGGAAATGCGGAGCAGCCCGGACTTTCCGCATCCAACCTGAACGAGCTGAGAGATCTCAGAAGAAAAGGCAGAAACTCCCCAAAACAGGGTGGCCAGAGCTTTACGTCATACCGAAGATACTGAGGCTGAACGCTGCCAAAGGGTGCTCAACAAGTACTGAAGAAAGGGTCTGAATACTTATGTAATGAAACTTTGCTTTTTTTCATTTTTAGCAAACGTTTCAAAAACTGTCTTGTTCTTGCTTCGCACTGGCTATGGTGGTCCAGGGCGCTGATGTTCTATTTCGAAAGCCTTAAGATACAATGCGGAAAATCACGTCCGAAACTCGTAGGCGTACTGGTCCCGGTACCATGGAGTTTGCTTTCCCGCACTAGCCCTGAGATGCGTGTCCTCAGCCCGGTACTCAGATTTTCCCGGCACACGCCCAGGCCTACGGATCGCCTCAACGGCCAGAGTCTGCCGTCTGCAGGGGCATGAACTGTCCGTTGCCAACGCCGCCTGAACTGCGTCTGCCTAAAACCGCAAAAAAGCCGCCCGTCCTGCCAATGACATCAGAGCCGTCCGCCAGACCAGAGCCGCTAGAGCCTTCCGCCAGACAGGATCAGCCAGAGCCTTCCGCCAGACAGGATCAGCCAGAGCCTTCTGCCAGACAGGATCAGCCAGAGCCTTCCGCCAGCCATGAGCAGCCAGATCCGTCGGCCAGCCATGAGCAGCCAGATCCGTCGGCCAGCCATGAGCAGCCAGATCCGTCAGCCAGCCATGAGCAGCCAGATCCGTCAGCCAGCCATGAGCAGCCAGATCCTTCAGCCTGCCATGAGCCGTCCAGCCAGGATCCGCCAGAGCCAGCCAGCCAGGATCCGCCCCTTAGCCAGGTGCTGTCCCTTAGCCCGGTGCTGCCCCTAAATCCAGGTGGAGTAAGTTGGAGGGTGGTCATGTGGAGGAGGCTAGGGAAGCGGGGTGGTGACTAAGGTGGGGTGGGGACCACGACCAGGGCCAGAACCGCCACCGTGGACAGACGCCCACCCAGACCCTCCCCGAGACTGTATGCTGGTGCGCCCGGAGTGCGCACCTTTAGGGGGGGTACTGTAACACTCTGGCTCCGGGACTTTTGTATTTGAGCCAGGGTGTATTGTGTTTTGTTGGGTTTTGGGTGATTTTCTATGTTGGTAGTTCTGTTGGTGTGTGTTTCTAGGTTTGGTCATTGACTCCCAATCGGAGGTAACGAGTGTCAGCTGTCGGCTCGTTATCTCTGATTGGGAGCCATATTTATACTGCATGTTTTCCTGTGGGCATTGTGGGTTATTGTTCCGTATTTCAGTATTTGTAACTGTGGACTTCACTAGCCGTCTTTGTTTATTGTTTTTGTCGTTCGTGTCTTTACTCAAATAAAGTCATGTTCACTCAACGCGCTGCGCTTTGGTCTGCTCCCTTTGAAGACGGTCGTGACATACTCAGTGGGGGGCTTTGTATTTTATGCCACTAAGTTTTACACAGAGTGGTGTAATAGCAGGCGGTCAAAAAAGTATGCATTCTACTCCTTTAAAAGACATACAGTGCATTCGGAAAGTATTCAGACCCCTTCTCCACATTTTGTGGAGCCTTATTCTTAAATTGATTAAATTAAAAAAAGCCTCAATCTACACATAATGACAAAGCAAAAACCTTTATTTTTTTTATTTTGCATTAATAAAAAATATAAATACCTTATTTACATAAGTATTCAGACCCTTTGCTAGCAATCGGGGGAGAAGGGCCTTGGTCAGGGAGCTGACCAAGAACCTGATGGTCACTGACAGAGCTCCAGAGTTCCTCTGTGGAGATGGGAGAACCTTCCAGAAGGACAACCATCTCTGCAGCACTCCAACAATCAGGCCTTTATGGTAGAGTGGCCAGACGGAAGCCACTCCTCAGTAAAAGGCACATGACAGCCTGCTTGGAGTTTGCCAAAAGGCACCTAAAGGACTCTCAGATCATGAGAAACAAGATTCTCTGGTCTGATAAAACCAAGATTGAATTCTTTGTCCTAAATGCCAAGCGTCATGTCTGGAGGAAACCTGGCACCATCCCTACGTTGGCAGCATCATGCTGTGGGGATGTTTTTCAGCGGCAGGGACTGGGAGACTAGCCAGGATCGAGGGAAAGGTGAGCAGAGCAAAGTACAGAGATCCTTGATGAAAACAAGCTCCAGAGTGCTCAGGACCTCAGACTGGGGCGAAGGTTCACCTTCCAACAGGACAACGACCCTAAGCACACAGCCAAGACAACGCAGTAGTGGCTTCGAAACAAGTC